CATGAAGTGGGAAAATTACGCGCATATATATACATATATATGTATATATATTGACGTTTGGCATGTGATATCGAGTCAGAGTTTTGCTTATGATAATTTTGTCACGTGTGTTTTCGTCTAATGTGAAGTAGTCGCGATTAAGTTCTGACATATATATATATATATATATATATATATATATATATATATATTTGCATACGTATGTAGATAGTTGTGTTTTGCTTAAAGCTATTTCATAAATAGTTTCACCTTTATAGTCTTATTCACTATTCATCACCTTTTTTTCTACTTGGTGAATATCGGTGTTATCTGATGTATAGCCATTTACTGATGGCTGCTGCCATTTGACTATAGACTTTATACCAGTTGATATCACTCGTAAATGGTGTTAAACGCCAAAATAGTGAACTTTGACAAGTCTTGTCTTGTTATCTTTGGCGTATACTGGTTGAAGTTATTCTGAATTCTAGGTTATATTATTATATTACATTAATTTATTTGTTTACGTTCCCAGTGGAACATAGGGCGGCTTCAAGCTAGAGACATGAAGTTTCGGTAGCAGTGATGTTTATTTTTCTTAAGGGATGGGGTTGCTAGCCTCATGCCAAACCTCCAGTCTTTATCAGTCTTATTACTGGTTTAGCGGACTGAAGGAGTGTATCGGTGGCCTGGGATCGAACCTCGTACCACATGAAGCGTGGTTAGCTAGCATTCTCCCGCTGTGCCACCGACGCGCTTAGGCTATAGTAGGTAATTAACTGCGTATACTAAAGAAAGAAGTTGGAATAATTGGATTAAATTTCTCTTTTGAGGCACTACACTGTTGTACTACAGCTTACACTATTTTTATTTGTTAAAACGAGACATTGGTACATTGTGGGCACTAAAAAAGATGCGCTACACAAAATCCCATAGTTTGTGCGAAGAATGGGATACTGTTTTGAAACCCAGACCAAAGCAGGTGGTTATCTTAAGAGGCCACCCCTCCTGAGTCTTTGACTTGGAATAAAGGTAAGACTTGAGCACTGTGGCAGAGTTTAATTCCATTATGGATAAAATTTTATTTTGATATGATCATACACTGTTATACAGTAATATTTACTGATGACGTTTAGAGCACATTTTGTTGCTCATAATCATATCGAAGTACTCGCATAACCTTCTTGCTTCGTACTTTGATGTGATTATGAGAAATAAATTGTGCTCGAAACGTCATCAGTAAATATTACTGTATAACATTGTGTGATATTTGACTTGGAGTCTGAAGTGCAAGGCAGAGTGGAGCAGTGTCAAGTACTGCTTTCCTGTGGTTTCCTGTAACCAAAACTAGGTCATACGTCATTCGATTCGTTCGGATTCTGGTGTTCATGTACACCATAAGTTTGGAGTAATCATGGCTTTCCACTTCCGCGAGGTAGATCAGCATGCCCATCCTATCAGTTATAAGCGCCAGATGTTCTCACCCAGCTTGTCATTGTATTGAGAAAAATCGGGTGTCGTGTGACAGCAGTGGAGGTGATCGCGTGACCACATGAGAGCACTTCGAGAGGAAGACTGAAGTCTACCCATCCTTAGCCATACTAGGTTGTTTATGGAGACATAGCGCTTATATGACACACTATAATGGTTCTTCAAAATTCCTAAAAGTTGTCTTTGGAACTGCTTTCTTCAAACAAAGTTGCATGGAATCTTTTAGAGTGTTTTTTGATTTATCAATGATAAATGTAGTATAATGAAACTACAACTAGACATAAGGGTAAACATGTTCTAGCCATCTCAAATAGACTCAATTTTATCACTTCATTGACATATTTTTTACCTCTTAACAAATATTCTATATCTAAGCTTATGATTCTCGGCTATATTACGCTATCTAACACACAAAAATTGAACTCAAACACTTATGGCTATAAACAGTTAAATTTGTTCATGTCTGGCACTTTCGATAGGAATATCTCACAGGCAGCCGTAAAGAAAGACAGGACGAGCTGCTGCACATTGTAGACTTTATTTGCTAGATAGCCTAACATCACACTAGAGTCAGAGATAACGCCAAATGGCAAATTTGAAACTCTCCTTTTGTACACATGCGAAAATTTCATCAATCAGTTTTTTTTTCTTCCGATTTCACCATTTGTAAATTATATCAGTCACTTTGTATTAGGGGAGTCAGGTTCTCCTTATAATTATTAACCTCCTCCCAACTTTCTTCCATAGCCACTACGCAGGCATTTTGTCAATGTATAAGTAATGCACATCATACTGCTTTTGCCTGTATGCGACTTCATTCTGTAAATGTACTGCTGAATCTATTGAATACTTTTTAAGATGGTTTTGATGTGATCTACACGCGACATCTTTATCTACCTCCGTGTTCTTAGTTTAAGCCAGTCATGTAAGGAGGTGTAGGCCACCTGATAGGAATTATCGGAATCTTCAAAACCAATGATTGGAAACAATTGGTTATTTTATTATTATTTATATTATTGTTCGCTTGGGTTCCTAGTAGAACATAGGGCTTCAACTACACGTCTTTACTTGCTTCTATCTTCTGCTGTACTTTTCACCTGCATCCATTTTAGTCCATACTGTTTCAACTCCTCTTCACACGATCTCCTCCATGTCACCCTTGCACTGACGTCCCACTTGCCACTCCCCTTTCGGCCTGGTTCCATTCGAGCAATGGCCTGACGCGCGCGCAATGTCACCAAGCGGCGGCTTCCTCAGCGAGTGTCCAATCCATCCATCTCCATTTTCTCCTGCATATTTGTTGGTTGGCGATTGGTTCTTGTTTTGTTTGTTCCCAGCCATAGTTTCTTGTTGGTGATTCTTTCCGGCCCGGCCATCTGATCTTCAGTATAGATCCAGCGAAGACAGTTGCTGGTTGATAAAGGTCTGCAACAGTCTGTTGGAACTATTCTTTGTGACCCGCCAAGTTCCTGATCCGTATAGAAGAACTGATTGACTTGACGTTGTTTATATTGAAAATCCTTTGGTGACTCTAAAGAATAGTGACCCAAACCGAAACGACCTTTTAACGCAAAAATAACCTTGACAGGGACAACTTCGGCCAATGAGAAGGCTCAAAAAGAAAGGCGCATAATTGTAAAAAACGGTTTATATAAAAGTAGTGCAATCATAATAAACAGTTACAAAGGATGGCGTTCGCGTATATGTTTCAAAAAACCTCCCAGTTTTTCATGGGAGTCTTCATAGTCATATGAAACCAGTTTCGGTACATAAATTCATCCAGGTAACTGTAAATCATGGGATTTCTCGATCCATTAACCGCTCTTATACGTCTTTTTAGACGACTCCAACAACTTTCAATGAAAATGGGGTGGGTTCCATCCAAAGGATTCCGGAAACCGTCCGTATGATTAACAATATGATGAATGTACCCATGATTCGATAATTGGCGGTATCCGCTCCATTCATCTGTATGAATAGTCGTCCCCGGCAACACCAAACGCTTATTAATAGGCACTAATACTGCTGCACTGCGATTGGGAATCGCTTCTATATATACTTTGCGCAGTGTCGTGTCGTAGATACCTAGTATCCACTGCTGGTTTGCTTGTAATCTCCTGTGGTTGTATTTCCTTTTTATAAGTACAGTCTCATCAATATGGACTATGCTGCCGACTCCTCCGAGAACTTGAGTCAGGGTGTTCATTTTCCAGGAGGAAACATCTCTGCAGTAAATGTACCATTGCACTGCTGACACCTCTGAATTTTCTGTTTCATAAGCTGTAGCTGTAACTGGTCTTTTCAGGACCCAGAAGTTACAGATCATTAAAATTTTCGTCAAAGGTAGTTTAGACCTTGAGAGAAAAGTTCCTAAGGGATCTGTAAACTAAAAAACAACGACAAACCTTCTCAAACCGATTTCCTCCTTCGGCACTCAACACATCTGTATACAAAGCCATCAATGGCCTCTGTGTATTTTTGTATATGCATAACTCCTCCACATTGGCAAATTTTCGACAAAGCTATCAGTCCGTTATCAAAACAGTAATCGAAAACATCCATGATTACTTCCGCAAATGATACAGTCAGCTGATTCCTTGCTTAAGGTCACTTTTTTGTTCGAAGGTCGTTTCGGTTTGGGCCGCTATTCTTTAGAGTCACCGGAGGACACAACAAATTCTATTGAAGGATTTGGGGCAGGTTGAAAAATAGAAAGGGCTATAAATGGATCTCAAAAGGACTCATTTATGGTCATTTGGATGAATATATGTACAGGATATGGTGTAACTTCTCCATTGGCAGTCCATGCTAAACTGGGAGATGTTTCTCTACATGTTCGAGAAAGATATCCCATGTAACTTTTTATTCTCTATTTTATGCTTTTTTCTACAAATATACATTTCCATTCATCATATATCCTCTTAATGTGACTGGTCCGTTCAAGGTCGTTTGCTGATTGGTTGTTAGTGGTGTCTAAAGTTTAACTTTGCCGAAAATCCTACCGAATTTTGTTGTTGATGCTGAGTGACGAAGATTTCCAGATTGGTTTCAGATTGATGAATGTGTTTCTCGCCCGCCCACCCGATTCTCGCTCGATTTGACATACTCGACCGTTCCGACTTCCTGTAGTTGAGACAATGCGCCCAGATAAGTGAATGAAGTAAGACAGTTGTTTATACTGACTGGAAATCGTTCTCAGTGGAGAAGATCTGTCATATCCACTAGAACATCATGTTTTTCCATGCATGGTACTATCCTTTCTTCCTGACATTTTTGTTTATTATTATTGTTCTTTTAAGTCTTTCCCTTCTCTCTCGAGAGAGAGAAAGCGCTTTTAGCATCTTTTGTGTGCTGTATTGAGTGTGGTAAGTTGAATTGCTGCACTTCCGCGTAAAGATCCGTGTTGAAACCATTCAACAGTCATTCCGGTTATGTGTATTATTGCTTTGTTCAAATCTATTCACCGTTCATTATCAGATATTTTATATCCACCATCGTTTGTTTATTTTTAACTGTTTTTTTTGTAAAAGGCCAAAGATCATGCAAATCATTTAGCCAGTGAATTAGAAATAGTTCAAAATGAATTAGCTATTGTTAAGGTGAATACAACACCCAATCAACCACAGCAGCAGCAACAACAGTTGAACAAATTATCCAGTAAAACAACTAATACAGATCAATCACCTATTGAAAATGGTGAATTCACTGAATCCACAGACACTGACAATAGTAATAACAATAATAGTAATGATGACAATGACAATGGATCTAATCAAGTAACAGAAATTCGTCGTAAAAAGAAAACTTCTGAATTAAATGATAATTCTGCTACTGCATCTTGTGTTGATGAATTACGTGTTCAGCTGTCAACAGCTGAAGAACGTATTAAAGATATGGAGGCCGAAATGAATGAAATTCAATCAGAATTACAAAGAGCTAGACAACGGGAACAATTGAATGAAGATCATAGTTCACGATTAACTGCTACAGTGAGTTTTTATTCTATTTTATTTTGTTTTAGTTATGATGTATGTTTTAAATTTTTAAATTGAACTTTGTAATTCACACTCACACTTATTGATTGGACGACTATTTAAAATTGAATGGAATTAGATACTTGTTTCCGCTTAATGGAGAAGATTTATAGCTCTAGTGGGTGTTTTTGGTGTGGTTGCGTTCTCTGAACTGGGTGATGTAATTGTGAAGGTTTCGTTGTCATTCTAGACAACATTTTCAGTGCTTACTTCACCCTAGTTTGAACTCATCAGTATTGGTAGCACACAATAAATACCGACAGATCGGAACTGAAACCGTTAGTTTTGAAGAAAGCACTTCAGACACAGAGTAAGATCCACTGCTTCATGACTTTAATGCATGTTGATGTTATATTGACAGGTGTCTGGACGTAGAATTTGTACATCATTCGGTGTGGATGTAACCACTGAGTAGTCAGCTGGTAACCTTGTAGTACCAGGATCAGGTCCTCGTAATGTCTTTTTCTATCACTAGATTTTTGATTGATATCGACTGGTATTCAGTTATTGATGTTATCATTTGCACTTCTTTGTATAATTACCTAACCAGTTATATCAGATATAGGTAGCTGACTGCTACATTGCTGGAGACAATCGTTGAGATGTCCTAGATCTATGTGTCGTGTTTATCAGCATTCATCAGTGCAGTGGATACGCTTCACCGAAATTTACTCCTTACATTTGAAACCACCTCACCCAGTACTGTATTCGGGGATGTTAACATTAGGCTTTTCGCGTTACGTAAATTTACCTCTATGGTTTAAACGCTTAACTTCCAAACGGTAGGTGCTAGGTTCGAGTCCCACTGAATCTAATTCAGTCTAAGTGACTGAATAGTATTGTTAGCAGTTATAAAATATCTGTCCCGAGTAATTAAGTTCAAAATATTCACGTTAAGTTAGATATCTGTCTGTTCAATTTGAACAAAAAAATATTCGATTGCTTAGTTAATTCCATCACATATAACCAGATGGGAATTGTTAACTTACTGTTTTGATTGCTAAGCTACGAAATTAGAATTACAATTGCTATTCCCTTCCATACAAAGAAATCATCACCGTTCAACAGTGCTATCATGTACTAGGTATTCATGTTTGTTTGATTAACTATCACTTTCATTCACCAATTTAAATTATGTAGAATAGATTAATAAGGTGGAGTATGCGTGTGGAATTTTCTATGCTCACATGAGTACATATTATTATTTTTATTCCCTTGGGTTCTGAATGAAGAATGGGGCTTCAACGGCAAGCACATCCCCATTTGACTCTTTTCTCTGTAAATTTTCAGTAAGCTTTTATTTCCTCCTCATGTGATCTCTCCCATGTCACATTCGTACCCATGTTCAACTTATCGTATTCCATTCAAGTGCCACTCATATGATTTCGCTCAACGGTCTCTTCCGCATGTGTCCAATCCATCTCCATCTCTCTCTGTGTATTTGTTGGACTATAGGTTCTTAGTTGGTTCACTGCCAAATTTCCTTGTCGCCAATCTCTTCTGACTGACCATCTGATCCACAATCTGAAGCGAAGTTAGCTGTAGATGAAATTCTGCAGCACCCTGGTGGAAATGCTCTTCTTTACGTGGATGGCAAGTATACGAAGCATATAAAATAACTGACTTAATATTACTTTTGAAAATCTGGATCATGTTCCATATTCTGAGTGCAGCAGATTTTCAAATTTGTTTCAGATTAATGAGAGTCTTTCTTTGATTTTCTGCTCCTACCTCTGACATCCTCATCCGTACCGCATGTAGCTAAGAAGATACTGCCTAAATAAGTAAAAGAGGCGACTTCCTTTAGATTTCTACCATTAATGGTGATTGGTGTTTGTTGTTATTGCTGTTGTCGGTTAGGTATCTTCACCACCTCTGTCTTCTCTTTGTTCATCTGAAATCCCATCTTCACAGACTCTTTTGCCAATTTGTTGATTTTCACCTGTGGATCTTTGAGTTTGTGTGGCACTAGACATAAACCTTCCGATAATTCCAGATCTTCTAGAGTATGCCCATCTTATTGTTCCCCACCGTCTGTTTACATTATCCAGATCAATACACAGGCGATCAATATTTGTACATTTTGAACGTCTGATAATAAAACATAAAGTCCAGAGAGCAACGAAACTACCACAGTTATTATGGCTGTCCTCATTACTGTTATCATTATTATTAATAACTTTAAAATCTGTTTAATTTCAGAAATTTGATCACTTGTTATTAGACTATGTTGAGAAGCGTTTTTGTTTTGATTGACTGCTAACTTAGGAGTTCATTGATAAACAGCAGTAGAAACCTCTTATAAACACTAAAGTGTTTAAACAACCCGTTTTTTTAATAATGAAGAAGAGTCTTCTGCTTCTTCAAAAACCATTGGTATGTGTATTAACTTGATTTCAACTTTCAATCATAATAAAATTCGGAATTCGCTTACGTATGCCTATTTATACTTGAGTGTGCGTTCAAAAATAATGCGTTGGTGGTGTTCGGTGGTAGGAATGCTCATCAACCACGTAATCACCGTCAAGAGTTCGATTCCCAGCCTACGCACTATTAAATTTTACCTAGTTTACCAACCAGTAGTAATCCTAGTAAAAGAGGGGAGGTTGAGCGCATGTACAATTCAACTCCAACGTTACTGAAACTTCGATACTTGAAGTCTTATTTTATACTTGGAACACGAGTAATGGAAAAAAGGTGTTGTAAATTAGTGATCCATGATTTTGAAGTTGTTCGGGGTTCGATCCTCGGCCACTGACCCACTCCTTTACCTTGCTAAGCCAGTAATAAGACTGGTAAAGAGGGAAGGTTTGGCATGAGGCTAGCAATGCCCCCCTCCCGTAAAAATAAATACCACTACTACTGAAACTTCAAGTCTCTAGCTTGAAGCCACCTTATGCTCCACTAGGAACGCAAATGAAAAAAATTTTCGAAGTTTCTTAGTGAAGATTTCATGTCTTCTGTTGACATTCATCAACAAGGCACATCTGCAACCTGGATGACTTTAATGCGTTTCAGAGAATCTAATTAGCATCACCTATTGTGCTTCAGTCAAAGAAGTTACCAAGTTAAATGCATAGAATCTATATACTACTGATTGGTTGATATGAGTAGTTGTATAACACCAATCATATCAACCAGTAGGGTGCAGCAGGTCGGGTATGAGGACAAATACTCATCGGAGACATTGGCTAGTGGTCGCGCCCTGTCGTGAATTCGCAGAAGTTAGAATTGATGGGCCACTGGATCGGATCCCAGTGACTTAATGGTCTACGAGCTCGCCTTGTAACCAGAAAGTCCTGGGTGCGAACCGTGGCGGTGGGTGCGTACTGTTGAAGAGTCCCAAACTAGGACGAGACATCTGTCCAGTACTCCCAGGTTTTCCAATGATTCTCCAACGAATGTTAGCTCATGATGGAATCCTGTAACCAATCAAATCCCTAAAAACCAACACTTGCATATCAACCAGTAGTGTTAGCCAACATAGATCAAGGTGATCTAAACACCACAGGATGGCCGTTTCGCTCATTTGGGGCCGAAGTCACTAGCGGTGTACTCGGTTTGACTCAGCTCAGTTAGCCGAATCAGTTCAGACCACCCGATTTCCGTCTGGCTACTTGGGAGAACTAGTGATACTCATCTCAATGAATGAATGAATCAATCAATCGATAGGGTATCGTCCTGTGCAAATATGCTTACTTTCTTGATTACCATTTATGGTATCGAACAGATCACTCGTTGTGGTGATCTGAATAATTTTGGTTTTTGATCGACCACTAGTCAGTGACCAATGTAATGTGTTTAGTCCTATCTTTGATGCAGACTGATTTCTATCCATCAAGTCAAGTGTGCAATGTGGCCACCATGTCACTAGGTGGCTCACCATCACGGTGGACTTTGAATTGTTGATATTAGATGGTTGGAGGCAATCGAAAAGAAGCTTCGGACGTAAGTTTCATGCTAGTTAGCACTCGTCAGCAAGGCGTATCTCCAAACAAAGGACTAGTGTCCCATCGAAAGCATCCAATACAGTCCTACAGGAGATCAAACCTAACTCCGAATAGCTCAGTGGTAACGTCTCTCACTCCAACACTCACTGGATGACGCGGGCTGGAATCTCAGAAAAGATATGAGTTCTTTCAGTGTTTCAGATACGCCTTGCTGGCTAGCGAGTGTCAACTAGCACGAAACATAAGTCAAGCTGCGCTTCCCGCGACCGATTACCTCCAACCCTCTTTAAGAAAACTGTCTAAATTGCAAATTAATTTAAGAATTGAAAATTTAATTTTTAAAGATGTTACCGTTGAATACTTTTTATGCGAACAAAAAGTAGTAAGATAAACTCCTTTAGTACGTCTTTCTATCATTCGTAAATAAACTTTGTTTATAAAAGTACTTACCATTGAAAATGTTTGAAACTAGTTTTTTTTCTATTTTCCTCTTTGTTTATATCATTTATGGATGATTTATTATCATCATTATTATTGTTATTATTATTATTATTATTATTATTATTATTATAGGTTGATAAATTACTGTTAGAATCAAATGAACGCTTACAAACTCATTTACGTGAGAAAATGGCTGCATTAGAAGAGAAAAATCAACTGCACACCGAATTAGATCGTTTACGACGTCTACTTGAAACCAGTCAGACTGAAAGAGATCGTGCTCTAGCTGATATGGAACGATTACGGCGTAGTTCAGCGACAACAACACCAACTGCTCTTGGTTTACAAGGTAAGTTTTAGTTCATTGATTTTTTTTGTCATTATACATTAACCTGTGACATTAAAGAAAGTATTGAATACCAGACGCTACATAGATCGATTTGATATTTGTGGATACTGTTGAGTGATGTCGAATACCAGACTGTCGAATAGCAAACTATCAGTTTGACTTGGATTGTCGTCGGGCCAATTAAAAAAAGGACGACGTAGAAAAAAAATAAAAGAAATGGTGTTGTTGAAGACCAATGTTAGGCAACTCTAAAGAATAGCAGCCCAAACCGAAACTACCTAGCGAACAGGCAAATGACCTTTACAAGGACAACTTCGACCAATCAGAAGGCTCAAAAAAACGGCGCATAGTTGTAATAAATCGTTGATATAAAAGTAATGCCATGTTAAAAAATAGTTACAGAGGACAATGTTCTCGTATATGCTGCGAAAAAAAACTCCATATTTCTCATAGGAGTCTTGATACTCATGTTAAACCAAGTCCTGTAGATAAAGTCATCGAGATAACTGTATATCATTGCATTTCTTGATCCATTCACAGATCTGATCCGTTTTTCGATGGAATTAGTGTCAGTTCCATCAAAAGGATTGAGAAAACCATTTGTGTATGGTTGACCACTTGATGAATACAGACCAGATTCGATAACTGACTGTAACTACTCCATTCATCTGTATGAATAGTCATCCTAGGCAGCACTATGAACTGGATAGTAGGCAATAATACACCTGCACTGCGATTAGGGATCGCCTCAATATATCCTTTCTGGAGACTTGTGCCATATATCCCCAATACCTATTGCTGATTCGCACTCAATCTCCCTTGATTATATTTTCTTTTTGTCAAAAGTACCTAAGGAATCTATCAATTAAAAGCGAACGACATACGTTCCCGAACTGATTTCCTGGTTCAGCACTCATTTCACCAGCAAATAAACCCATCGATGCACCTATTGTATCTTTGCATATGAATGACACCACATTTTTTTCAATTTTTCGACCTTCCTATCAGTCCATTCTCCAAACAATAATCAAAACCAGATCTGGAGCGAATTTGTAACGGAAAAGGTGTACAGCACCCATAAGTACGTCTGGATAAAACAGAGTCACCTGATTGGTTGCTCAAAGTCATTTGTCCGTTCGCTAGGTAGTTCCGGTTTGGACTGCTATTCTTTAGAGTTGCCCAGTGTTATACTCTGTACCCAAGGAACGAATAATGATTAGGATCTGTTCTTGAAGAGTTGGATATTTTACACTAATTATGACATCTAGTCAGTGGAAGCAAATATCTCAGTGGTAGTTTTTTGACTTGTTGTTATTAGATGATTGGAAGCAATCGATAAGAAGACCATGTCCTATGTTTTGTGCTTGTTTAGCGTACCTGCAATCTTGAAGAAACTTCTGTCCTCTCTGAGATTCGAACCTGTGGGTCACCTAGTTGTGCAGTTAGAGACGTTACCACTGCGCTAGCTATTCGGGCTCGCGATTGACCTTCTGTAGAACTGTGATGGATACTTTGATGGGTCACTAGGGTGTATAACTGATGTTTTGTGTTCAGTCTTTGGTGCTTGTCTGGACTGAACGTCTTCGACTGCATCACTGGCGTACACGAGTTCTAATCTCATGAGTTCCTTCAGGATTTTTCAATATTCCTTGCTGACTGGTGAGTGCCTCCATTCATCTAGCAGAAACAGAAAACCATTGTTTCATCTCAGTCACAAGCTGCACATTATACTCTTTGCATAATCCGATTCAAATTAATCATCTAATTGTTAATTTTGAAATTTTTAAGAATTTCTTAACATGTGATACAAAAATCGTCATCATAAAATACTATCAGTAAATTATCTGTTGTTAATTTTTGTCATAGGTTGTGATTATATGTTTGATTACTTATCGGTTTCGCATTTTCGAAGGCATCCGCCAACTGTTCTGTTTTTCTTCGTTTTTTTTTATCATTGACATCAGTAGGTAATTGCAAAGTGTTGGTTTTCAAGGATTTGATTGATTTCACATTGACACTGTGCAGTACTCCCTTGGTTTTCAGTAGTTCTCTAACTGAAATGAAGTCAATTTGTGATCGAAATTGACAGCGATCATATCCTTGCAAACCAACACTCATCTAGTTTTCACTAATGACTAACTATAGCATGAATTCGTCTGAAGTCCCCACAATGGGAGAAGTAATGAGTGGTCAGTGAGGTCGACTAGGTTGAGCGTGGCGGCTGAGCTACATATTGTAAATTGGCAGAAGTTGAATTGGTACACGAGCGCTCACCTTGTAAACTGAAGGTCTTGGGTTTGATCCTCGGTTGGATTACGGTTGCTTCCCCGTTGAAGAGTCCTAAAAAAGAACGAAACAACTAACTGCCCAATCTTCCTGGTTTTCAGTGAGATTTGCTAACTGGAGTTAGTTCGTGATTAAGACTAAAATAATTGTCAGTTCACACTTTCGATTGGAAAATACTCATTGAGTTATGGAAGAAAAATAAAAGACATTTCGGAGAAAGAAAATTTTGTTTCTTTGCCATCGAAGTCATTTTTAAAGGGCATATACTGCAACAGTTGTATTTCCTGGAAACGTATAGCAGTCAGTTACTGCATAATAGGGTGTATTTTTGTTTGCGTGGCATAGCTGATACAATTTCCGGATGTTGTGCTGCTGGTATCCAACTTCTTCAGTAATTTTTATCACTGTCGTATTAACAGTCTATATCTTTCCATTGTAATATTCCGTCTATGTGTGTATTAGTTATGCGTTACATGAATAAAGTCTAATATGCTCATCTGGATAGTTTGTTGTTGCACCAGTTACTTATTTTTATGGATCAGTGATCATAGTTGAAGGCAAATCACATCGGTTGCAATAGGAATCGAGTCAGTGGCCATTGCATTATTCCCAAACCGAAATACTCAGTCTCTATAACCGTCTAGGCGGTGCCTTAGGCTTAACGTCATCATGCTATTTAGCTGATTGTGTCTATTAGGGGAATTCAAGCCTGGCGTTTCGTCCTATTCTGAACTTATTAGCTAGATGTATGCGCCTTCTAGTAAGTTGTGTGTTCTTCTTGGGATTGACACTCAACACTTATCTTTTGAAACGTCGAAACGTTATCCACTAGTCTACAGGGCCACTGTTGACTTCAGATGGATAAAATTTTTCTTATCGTGCGTGTGAGAGAGAGAGAGAAAAAAAGTTAAATCAATTAAAGTGATAATAACACTGTCCCATTTTAGTCTAATGGAATGTTTTATTATAAGGTGTGTATGCTTACATAAGTGTTAATTGTGATTTATGCGTGTGAAATATGTATATATTCGTGGAGCGGAGGAAATGAGGTCTAACAATTTTTCCTCTCTCTTAATTTTTTCCCACATTTTCTTCATTTTCACCTTAAAAATATGTTAAAAAAATGAGTTATTTCTGTGTGTGTGTTCAAAGTGTTGAATATAAACTATTAAATAACAATTGTAAAACAGGTCAAGTCAAGTGAATGTAGATTTTTAAGTGTTTTGTGTCTTTTCTTGGGGGTGAGGGGGGGGGCGACAGCACGGATTCAAGGTAGATTTCGTTACAACGTCAATTCAGTTATAAAACCACTGAAAACTGAGGAGAAATGGATAGCTGCGTGGATATTCTTAGCGGTTCACATCCTCCAGCCCTACCAGGGCTGAATTGACAGAAGCTAGCATTTATAGAATGTTTAATTCTATCTGTGTAGTTGGCTTGATGGTAGTGTATTCGTGAGATAAGACAAATTGTTTCTCAGAATTCTTGATACTTCAGTTTCTATTGTGTTCTTGGTAATCGTCATCTTTCGAATACTCTTCTGTGAATTGAAATCCTTACACATCAGTTCATTTAATCGGATGGCTTTTCAATTCTTTTGAAATAAAGCTTTGACTAGTGCGTTGGTGGCACAGTGGTTAGGACTCTCACCGACCATGCACATGGTCCTAGGTTCGATCCCCTGCCGACGTACACCCGATATCAATGGTCGATCTGCAAAATTTGGGCTACCGATATCACATGTTGAAAATTCCATACTTGTACCAAAAATACGGTGTGGAATCAAGCTGTAATCAAAAATGAAAAAATGACATGAAACATTGTAATTGTGATACTTATGTTAAGTAAGAATCCGAGATTCGCTGGCTTAACTCATGCTATGACCCTAGACTTTTATTTGATTTCTAGTCATTACTTAGAAACATCAATAGGCATCAGCTAATCCAAGGTTATCCAAAATAGTTTCAACACCAGTTTATTATAGATAGTGAATGTTATGTAATATATATTCTATAGGTGACCACATTTGTTCTCATCTACTGGAAGGTTTGTGAGGATTTGACCGATCTGAAGTCCGATTTCGTCAAGAACTAATATCACCATATAGATAGAGGTTCATTAAAAAAATTATCAGAAAATGGAGAGCTGTTCAAGTTAAAACCATACAGTTTGGCAACTAGCATGTTGCGATTCAACCTTTTAAGTAGAATATATTTTGTAACAGTCATCATTCCTGTTATTTTCAATTCTTCAAGTTCGATCATGAACTGACTTCAGTTTGAGGAACATTGGAAACCAGAAACTAACTGGACAGCCGGGAAAATATTGCTTTAATACATTTAATCCTACTCCAAAAATATGGTGGAGATATATGGATGACACTTTCACACACAGTGTTCAAAACAGAACATATCTCTAGTTTCTTGACATATATAAACTCACTAGTTGAGGGAATAAAATTCACATTAGAATCGGAAAATTAACAAGGAATAGAAGAAGGTAAACTGCACACTAGTGTGTACAGAAAACCAACTCATTCTAATATATACTTAGACTTTAATTCATCCCATCCGTTATCTGTTTGTGAAGTCAGGCTTAGTTATGTGTCTAACAAATCGAGCCATAGCACTAATTAGCACAAGAAAAGACCTAAATGACGAAATAAAACAGATAGAAGAAGCGTTGGTGTTAAGTAACTATCCTTTAGAATTCATTAGGAAGATCGAAAAAGGCCAGACGAAAAATAAAAATAATTGTGAAACTATTAATAATAACACAAATAAGAGAGAATACAAGTCATCTACAGTTATACCATATAAAGAGGGACATCTGAGGCCCTACGTGGGATTCTAAATAAAGCAGGAATTAGGGTGGTATTTAAACCTACAAACTCACTGAGGGACAAGCTCTGTAGGTTAAAGGACCTAGTTGACCCAATTAAACAAAATAATATAATTAACAAAATACCTTGCAATGACTGTGTGGTCAAACTAGTAGGTTGGGATAGTTAGATTGTCAGAACATAAGAATTTAGCTGAGGTAAGAATGGTTGACCCCGAGAAGATAAGTAATTTAGAAAAAAGCTCAGCAAATGCACTTCACGCATTAATACACAACCATACAATAGGGTAGGATGGGGTTAAAATTCTAAAAAGTAATCTAGATAGATGGAGATAGGGATTGATTACTGAATCCTACCTGATTCATCGAGTTTACACATGCAACAGAAATGACTCAATACAAGTACCAGAAATATGGAGGATATTATTACCACCAGTCAAATCAGAGGAGGATAATATAAATAATCTTAAAATTCTATTTCAATGCAAGCACGTCACAACATTCTAACAAGTTACTTATTATGACTATGAAAAAACACTCGTCTTATTTCCCATCTGATTGTAATTGATCAACAACACTCATATCATTATTTCTGAATATACATTATCGTATATTGATTCTTATCTAAATATCTAGTCAATTCCACACATGTATATAAATGAAGGAAAGAGTTGTGTGAATAACTTGATATGATTACGAGAGATAACAATTTGTGCTCGAAACGTCATCAGTTAATATTACTGTGTAACACCGTGAGATTTTCAAAATAAAATCTTATCCATAATGGAGTTATGCTTTACCACATTGCCCAAGTTTTATGCTTATATCAAAAACTACTGGACAGCTATTTCGTCCTGGTTTGTAATCCTTCATCAGTGGGCACTTATGACCCTATCGGCAATAGAACTCGGGACTTTCGGGTTAAAAGGTGAAGTCGTAGACCATTTAGCCACTAGGATTGAAACTAATGGCCCATCGATTCAACTTGTAACCAAACTTAAAATCAATCAAATCCCTACTGACCAACAATATTCTCAAGACACTTCCTTATCATCTTGTAACATTCTACAAGACTGTTTACTGTATGCTTTGAGCGTTGAATTTAACCCTTATCATTTACTTATATAAAAAGTGAACTTCTGTTAAGGAAATATATGTCTTCTCTAGCCAAAATTAAAAAAAGGCAAGCACATAAGAGAAATACAATGCGGATAAATTTTCAGAAGACCGATAATCAGTTTAACCCTAATTGGTTAAACGGATATAGGCGTCGGTAATAACGCATCAGTTTGTTTTCCACCTGAAAGAAAGATTTAAGCCATGTGAGGGAAATACCGACAGGTGTTTATAGGCAATATCTGTCTGTCTTTTACATATTTTGAGAGTATTATAACTTTACTAAAGCTTTAGGTGAAAATCAACGTGAATATTATTTTGGTTGATGATAACTAGCGGTGGAATCCAGGATGTTCTTTTCGTTGTATTTCAAACTTATTATCTGAATTTGTTCTCATTCTCAGTGAGTGATGTTATTCCCACCGAGACTTGAACCCTGCACCAGTTGTTTCAGATGCCAAAGCATTATACACTAGGCAACGAGGATCATGACTGAGAGCACCATTACTCACTTGGAATGCAGGTAGGCGCAGATGATGAGTCCCAAGTGGGGGTGAAATATTCATTCTGTATTCCACCACTAGTCACCATCTGTTAAAATAACTTCACATTAACCCTTAGACATTGTCGTAACTTTGGTGTACTAGGAGCTCGATTGTCAACAGACATCGAGATATTCAGTTTAACATAATGCATCCAGCGGTTATGGCTCTCGCCGATCATGCACACGGTCCGGGGTTAGATCCGCTGCCGATGCATACCTGATATGAATTGGTCGGCCTGCAAATTTTGAGCTACCGATATCGCATGCTAAAAATTCCATACATGTACCAAAAATGCGGGGTGAAATCAAGCTGTAATAAAAAAATATAGTAATACTTAGATAGTAGACAAGATAAATGAACCAGTTCAGCTTCACCATTACTGAGAAATCGTGGATTTATGATTCTGTATAAAACTAAACTGAGTTATCAACGTAGAAATTTGCGTTAAGGTGCAATACTTCAATCTATTACACTTCATATACATATAGTTGACGAAAAGAAACGCCATTGGTTGTTATCATATGGGGGACGTCTACCAGCTAGTCTTCACTTCCTCAAACCAGCCGTCAAAGCCACTCCATAGATCTGTATCATGTTTTGACTTGATCACCCTTTACTCTTTCTCGACCCAATCTTGTGTCATCTAACGTTGGTCGAGGAGTAAGGCGATATCTTGGCATTGGCATGTGTAACAACTATCTCAGTCAATGCAGCTTCACAAAATTACTGATTGGCAGCTTCCCCTCGTTACCCAGCACTCAACAACCAACTTCAATATTCCTTAATTACATTAAACAACATAACATGAATGAACATAGTCGTCTGTGGTCAAAAAAGTCAACGATAAGTCTAGCTGTGCTGACAAATCATGCAAAATCATTAGAGTTTGTGATTAACTTTGTATAGAAATAGAGTTTATTGTCTTATAGAAGTTGAATACCATTCATTCTTTATCAAAATCTTGTCTAGTGACTTCTGATTTTATTTCTTTTTTTCAGGCGATACATATTCAAGTGGTTCGCATAGCCTTCGAAGAATGCCGCGCAATGTTTCAAGCAGTCGAACAGATCAGGTATGTTGGCTTTTCATTTGATCGCCTTATGTATATATATATATATATATATATATATATATATATACGTATGTAACATGTAACAAATGTCATTATTTGACAACACGATCAATTCTTTTTCGCTTTCTTCCTCTCTTACTACCGGTCTCCGTCTATCATACTTCCTCTGACTTTCTGCTTTACTTTCGATGTCTGGTCTGTATATCTATCTCATTAATATGAAATAAGGGAGGTAGGAGTTTTTCTGTCATAATTTGAGGATTACTTACTTTGAAGTGAATGCATAAGTGGCTGAAGGAGGGAGAAAAAGAAGCAAGAAAAAGGGAGGTCTTTGAGAATGTACAATGAATGAAATCAATAATCCAGTCATCTGGGATGTTTTCTGTTGTAGGCTAATGGTATAGTAATAACAGTTTATTACTGCTATTGTTCTCCCCTGGTTTCCAGGTTGAACATTGGGCTTCAACAGAACATCTTCATTTCGTCCTATTTCCTGCGGTCTTCTTCAGCTGGCCCCACGATTGCCCATAGTCTCTTACATCCTTCTTACACCATTTCCATATCATCCTTGGACGCCTCCACTCGAGGTTCTGCCTGGCGCACAATGTCATATGACGGTCGTCTCCTCAGTGGATGCCAGGTCCGTCGTCAGAGTATTTGTAGAGCGATAGGTTCTTACTTGGTTTGTAACCGGAACAGATTACTGACTCTTCAGTTGACAATTTGAATAGTCCATATCCATTCCACCTGGTCTTGCAGATTCGCAACACTTCTATGCTGTACCTTATCATTTCGTTGGCAAATTGGATATCCTTTCCAGCTTCGTACATTGTACAAACACTTTACGTCCCTGTCTTTATTTTTGCTCTTATGTCTTCCATGCGTCTTATGTCGTTAGTTACGTATTGCATAATAATTAGATGCATAAAATAGGGTGAAGTTGTGCTACTGTCTAGACCGATTTGTGAAAAAAACCACCACTTGATATTACATACCCTATATGCATAATATAATATGGGTTAAGAAGAGGGTACCTAAGCGGTGCAACTGTTCCTCACAAAAGTGAAAATGCGAATATGCACATCTGGTGCTTACAAACGAATTGGTAGCGAAATAGGTCTGCGTAGGGTGGAGGACTTGAAAACCCTGATTGTATCACTATAGTGTACGTGAGCTCCACAATCTGAAAGGATCGAAAATAGTATGAACTTGATTTCATCAACGTAGGAAGGTAGCTTCTGACGCTGCTCCATCAAGTTCTATAATAGTCTTCATTGTGTAATATTGATTGAAGATGAGACGAAGTATGTTTAGAAATAATTTTAGCGTTTACAGAATCCATTTCTAAGCAAACATTCTTGTGTGCATACAAAAGTAATAGTAATAATAATCACTTTATACCGAACAATAATAATCACACAGAATGGAATATTTGGCGTTACGCATTCAAATGAACGAGACGATGAAAATATCTAGTTACCAGGGCAAGGAAAGAGTGATAATCGCCTCTTTCCGAACACATAAATCGGGTTTCAGGCTGTTGGTGGAGATCACTTGAATTGAAATCTTGTGTATTGATAATTTTGAACGATCTTGCGACGTCTAGCTCATGACCGTGTCCAGGAGATGGCTGGCGATGGCACTGTTGAAAGCATTTGTTCCCTTCAGATGTAGGTTTTTCAGTACATGTTCAGAAAATCTGAGGTATGCCCTTCTTGATAGCTCGTACCCCATATGTATGATTTATTATAGTATGAATGGAAACGAAAAGGGTTAAGAAAAGGTTACCTAAGCTGCGGGTTGTTCTTCATAGAGATGAAAATACGAATGCGAATATCTGGTGCTTAAAACCGGATTGATGAAGGCGAGGGGGAAAACGCTGGTTTCAAGCCTGTGGTTTACACGGGTACACTGGCTCCATAATCCGAAAGAATCGAACGGCATATGGACTGCGTTTGGTCACAGGGATCCATATGAACTTAACTCCTGATGCTGACCCACTTCCTTGTGAGTCAAACTTCAAGTCCAAAACTCATGGGTGGGGTAGCCACATAAGACGACCTCCTTCTTTGATCTGGATATCTGAAAAATATGCCAAGCCTCGCATGAACTAAGAGATTTGTGTGGTGCATCTCTTGGTACTCATAATAAACCAAGTTTGTGTTTCACTAATACTAATAACAATACGGTTAACAGAAACTTATATCTCTTATTGACTTTGTTTTGAAAATTATGAAGTTTTTGTTTCGGGTGATTAGATCGTAACTTAATTTGCTTTCTATAGTCATTGTACAGTTGTGGGATTTCATAATGAAGCGACACCAGCTAGAGAAGTGTTGAAATACAAGGGGAGATTGAATGGATGTTTTGATCCTAGTTTGTAGACTCTTCAGTAGTACGCACCCATGACAACATCACGAATTGAGTCTGTGACTTACAAAGTTACGATGCGATATATCGATTTTCCAATCTGATAGTCCATGAATTCTAGAGTATGACACAAGATGCTTAAAGGTGGTCAAATGTTATTAAATGCGGGATGAAAAACCAAGTTCTACACTAGGCTTCATTGCTGTTTTTTTACATTTGAAGTGTTAGTATTGGATGGTTGGAGGCAATCGGCCACAGGAAACCTTGGCCCTAGGTTTCGTGCTAGTTGGCACTCATCAGCAAGGCTTAACTACAACCTTGAAGGAACTCATGTCCTTTCTGAGATTCGAACCCACGTCACCCAGTGTTGCGGTCAGGGACTTTACCACTGAGCTGTTCGGGCCCGCCCTTGACTTCCTGTAGAACTGTAGTGGACATTTCGATTGGATACTGGTAACTAGTGAGATGTGTCAGCACGGGTGACGCGGGTTCGAATCTCCGAAGGTACATGAGTTCCTTCAAGATTGCAGATACGCCTTACTGACTGACGAGTGCCAACAAGCCCGAAACTTAGGTCCAAGGCTTCCTGCCGATCGCCTCCAACCATCTAATATCATATCAATGTGCACCGTGATGGCGAGCTACCTTGAATGGTGGCCACATTACAAACCTGAATGACAGAATTCAGTCTGCACCAAAGATAGAACTAAACACATCACACCTATTACTGCTAGTACTATTCTGCAAGTCATTAGTGACTGACTTCGGGATGAACTTTCTCGTGAGAAGACGTGATCGATGTTGGCCACCAACTTAGACTTTAGGATAGATATACTGGCTTATGGCGTTGCTTGACGACATGACAAGAATTAGAATTTATCCGCCATTGGATTCCATTCCGGTGACTAAATAATCAACAGGTGAACCTCATAATCTGAAGATGCTAGTTTTGATCTCTGATCGGTTCTTATGGGCTTGTACTGCTGAAAATTCCTCAGCTAGAATGAAAAAAGTTGTCCAGTGCTCTTTTGGTTTTCAGGGATTTTCTAACTGGTATCACTTCCTAATGTGAAATAAACCCTGTGATCAACTGAAGTCTTATAATGGCAACACTTGTTGTGTCTTAATCTACACTCATAACCAGACTACCAATTGTATTGAAGACTTTTAGGGGGTTTTCGGTACACAATGATGAATATTCATGATTCAATGGAATTTTAAGTACTTGAATAAGGCATTTGTTAAAAATGCTCTTTCCTCTACATAGTCTTATCTATAAATCATATTATTCCTATAGGTAGGAAAATAGTCTGATTTAATCTTGATTTCTATGCTGAATAATACTACTACTATTATTATTGTTGATAATTAAGGTCAGATAGTTTCTTTTTCTTTGAAATGAGTGTGCTAGCGGTAGTGCGGTGTTTTTGTGTAGATGTGCGTGCACACGTGTGTGTGTGCCTGTGTCTGTACTTGCTTCTTTCGATTTTTGTGTGTTGTGTGCCACTCTCTGTCTCTTTCTCTCCCTCTCTTTGTGAAATGATGATAACAAGAAGCAGGTACGGTATATATTGATTAGCTATCAGGCGTGGTTTCCTTTTTGTGTGTTCTTACTGTGTCTGGGCTTTTATTTGTTTAGTTGGTTGGTTGGTCGGTTCTATTTTAGTGCAACCTGTAAACAGCCGGCTTTAACCTTGCCTTCACTGTGTTTTGTAAAATTTTACATTTGACCTTTCATACCTGTGTCTATACCTGTTTTTATTTTCATGTAGTGGGCTTAGTTCCTTTGGTGATTTACTTCGATTATTTTGATGAATCACACTAGGTTACTTTTACGTATGTTTTTTGTGTATCTATGTGTACACAATAATGAGTGGGAGTGTGTGTGCTTCGGAACAATATATAGAGATGGGCAATCCTTTTTTATGTACATTTATTATCGATTACCATTAAAGCAAACCCTGTTTTGTTTTCTGAAGTCGATAACTCTGTGGATCATTCTTTGTCTAATAGGTCAGTAGGAGAGTACCTATTGATGAGTGATCACACTAATGTGTGTATGTCATTTTGTTTGATTTGTATTCAGTAAGCAATTCTATTGAACTAGAGGTGTTACTGTACTGTATTAATTATTCACCATAACAATTCCATGAACCAACATCCATTAGAGGACATTTTTTTTATTTGTTAACGTCCCCGATGGAACATAGGACTTCAAGCTAGAACTTTGAAGTGTCGGTGGCTGTGGTGTTTATTTTTACGGGATGGGGCTGCTAGCCTCATGCCCAACCTCCCCTCCTTACCAGCCTTATTACTGGGTTAGCGAGGTAAAGGAATGCGTCAGTGGCCGGGGATCGAACCCTGAACCGTATGCGTGGTTGGCGAACATTCTGCCGCTGTGCCACCGACAATTTTGAAAATAAAACCTCAAAAACACCATTCCCTAACCCATGAGGAAGTTTCAGACAAACAGGAATTTATTTGACAAAGACTGGAATTCTGACAGATAGCTGCCACTAGGCAGGACTATGTATTGTAATAATCCAACAACATGCACTGGCTCGACTAAAGGATTATGCACAAACGTCAGATAGATAGTGGTTATACCAGAAGCAGTTACCACCATAGTG